CTTCCTGGACCGGGGCACGAACCCGCGTCCCCTGCATCGGCAGGCGGACTCTCAACCACTGCGCCACCAGGGAAGCCCAGGGGTGCCTTTTGAAACTGGAAGAAAAGAGCGCAATTGTAGAAAGTTTTTGCTGAGTTATTTTCCACCCCCCTTCACAGGTACAGACACCCTGAGGGGCTATATCTCCAACTTTCATTAACTATAGCCCTAAATTTGGAAGAAAAAAAATCTCCTTCTTTTATCTGCTTCTTCTTGTAAGGAGGAAAAAAATGTTAGACCAAATGTATGAAAATCTAGGATTGAGACATGTTGTATATTATGTTGTTTTCTGATTAGTGAGATTTATAAAGATTAATGAATTGGGAATAATATCCAATAATATCCAATATCCTTGCAACAGAACAATGTAGTAATGTACAGCTACAAAATATATGCCATTTCTCGAAAATCACAGAATTGTTACTTATTTAATCAATAAATATTTTATGTTTACCAAAAGGTTTCACATATAAAAAAATAGGACAAAAGAAGGGCTTTACACAGACCATATGGCAAATGAGATTTATTTCTAGTATAATGAAAGCAAACTGTATTTTTGTTCTATTTATTATTTTGACTTTAAATAATAAACTAGTTTTAAAAAACAAAGTTTACAGAAATAATGTGTTCCCTTTCCCCTAATACTGGAAATCAGTTTAATTGAATAGAAAATAACTGCATTCTCTTTCATACCTCTTAAATTCAAATACAGGTATTCATGACTCTGATTGGTATAAGAAGAAATATTTTTCTGACAAAATTAGCTTTTTAGTTAGTGCAATTTAATTATTATATATAATATATATTATTAATTATAGCACAGTAATAAGTGTTTTTTCAAGCCACACATAATAACAGATTTGTATGTTATGGAGGGTTAAATGGGCCTGATTTTTTTATTATTAAGGAATCAATCCTTGTTGACTTTTATGGAGGATACTTAATGAGACTGAAGAATGTTTAATTTTTTCATATTTTTATAGCTTCATTTCTTACATATATATTGGCAGATAGTTAAATAAGCATATACTAATTACTAGTGCAATCTATTTAAATATCTTAAGGATAGAGCCAATATCATTTAACTACCTGTGAAGTATAAGGTATAATTTCTCTTCAAAATTTAATGCAAATATTACCCTACTCTGTTCTGTGCATGTTACTTTCCTCTGTGGAATGCTGCTTATAATTTACGAAGTATTTGTTTTACATATTTGTCTTTCTGACTGGCCTGTGAGCTCCTCTGGGAAAAGAATGTGTTTTTGGTCTCTCCAACCTTTTTGTTTTGTGCCAGAAACAGCCTTTCATTGTTTCTGGCACAAACTGGGCCTATGATGAAAGTTGTCGACTTAAATTAAACTGATGTCACAAGAGGCTTCAGTTACATATAATCTGACACACAGACATTTAAAGCAGGGACAAAAATGAAATAAAAGAGAAGATTGCCCAACATTTATATGTAGGAGGATTAGGTGTAAATTCTTGCTGTGCAAGTTTGTGGAGTTTTCTAAACATTTGAGGGGAACATTTTAAAAGTTTATATTCAAATCATCTACCAGTCTAAGACAACCACTGTGAAGTCTTTGCCTCTCCAATAGCCTTAGGGTATTTCAGAGACAGTTCTGTTTACAATGAAGAGGACATTGTATTTAGTCTGATTGTTTAGACTGTTTAGAGGCTGACACCACCATTCTGAATACTCCTGAGAAATTACTTTATTCATTGGTTTTACTTTCCTTACCTGAAATAAGTAAATCTTTTTTTTTTTTTTTTATGGTAAAACCCACTGCATAAGGTTGCTGGGAGAATTAAATGAGATGATACGTAAAAGGGCTTTTGTAAATTTTAATGTGCTGAACAGATGTAAGCTATTGTTTTTTGTATTGGATAACTACACATTCAGCAAACTCTTGCTAAACCTTTATCTTTCTGTGACTATAGGCAGTATTATCTTGGAGAGATTCTAAATACGGTGTATGATATATGGCATCCCTCCATTGAAACCTGTAGTTCGTTGTGCCAGTTAACAAGAAGCTGTGTGTTTGATTATGGAATATTTAAATGTCTTTAGTTTTGCATTGTCTGTGCATATTTTGGATATGTCCAAGTGATTTCAGTTTTAATTTATTAAATTTTTATTTTTTTTCCTAAATAAACCAAATGATAATGAAAATATACTTATTATTGAATAGGAAAACTTTTTATTAAAGAGGAACCTGTGTCCCCACTGTATTTTTTGAAAGAGAATAAGTGAACCTAATCTCCTGAAGTTCCCCCCAAATTAAGAACTCTTGATAAAGGTTAAGAAGCTCAAATGAGACTTTCAAATGCTTGCCCTGGAAGGCTGGGACCACAGTTTTGTTCTTTTTGAGCCCCAAGTAAGAGGTGCTGACGTAGATGTAATCCCTCAGATCTTTGAGAATTGGATTAACTTTAAAATGTATTATGTGTCTAGCTAGAAAATTGAGAACCATTTTAAAATCAACAGGTCAAAAGTTTTAAGTTGAGTAATATTTCCATAAATAGAAATGTTGTTTTATGCCCACCTAGAATGTTCTGTTTAAAGAAAATTTAAGTTCATGATATAAACTCTATCTGCCCTTTAAGTTTAGAATTTGTTTTGCCCAAGAATTTAAATTTTCTTTAAATATTGGACTCTTAAGTATACTTAAAATTGGATTTTTTTTTTGCAAGTACAGCTTTGAGGAAGTATGTATATCAGTCTGCCCTATACCATCCCATTCCCATATCCTCTGCAAAAGAGCAAAGCAAATATGGGTTCATTTAAAACTGTATGAAAATGTTTGCTTAACACAACTTCTCTGGAATGGAAAATGTCAAATTGTTAAACTTGTTTCTCTCTCTCTTTTTTTTTTATCTTAAGGAGAATGGTGTTGAATGCTTATATTCTGAGAGCCTGCCACAGTCCAGGTGTGCTTGTTTGTTTCTGTGTATGACTTTTGATGCATATTTAGTTAATTTCTAAGAGAATTCTTTGAACCAGACACTCTAAAATACTTCTACTTTTCTGACAGGGAATATTCCACCCTACCATCTCCTGGACACACTTCAGCCACAGAGAGTACTGTAACTTCAAGTGGTGAGTAGATTAGAAAAGATATAAAAATAGAATGTTAGTGTTATACCTATAAGCTTGGATGTTCTGTGACCTGCTAAGGTGTGTGCAAATGAAAAGGACATAAGCAAATAATCCTTTTGCATAGTATTCATGCTGTTAGTTTCTTCCTGTTGATAGATTCTGGATCAGAAATTTTGCATATGGCTTCTGGTGTCATTGACTGTAAACCACTCTGTGAGAAAGAGGAGGATAAAAGATCAGCTTCTGCTGTGAAGATCAAAGGTAAGCTGTTGAAGGGTTCAAGAGGAGTTTCCATTCTAAAACACTAAGCAAACTTGGAAGCTAGTGGAGTAACCATCCTCAGTGGCTTAGTAATACTATTTTATAAAAGAATTTTGAAGACATAGTCTGGAGAAAAGAAGTCCAGAGGTGGCCATGGCCTTCACATATGACAATGTTACCAACTTTTTTCCAATTCTGTATTTAAAATAAAAATTACGGTATATTTTAATGGGATTTAAATATTTCCTTATGGCCAAAATTGATTGGACACATCTGAGTCTCAACTGTGAGGCAGATGTGGAATCACCTACTTAGGAAATTCTCAGAATCCTAATTAGAATCTACTGGGTTAAAAGGATGGACCGATTAGTGATGGTCCACTCAGGAGGCAGATATTAACTAGATAACATGTTAGATCCTTTTCTGCCATTTGAGTCTGAAAATAAAGTGCTTATTCTGAACCGTTCCCAGTGAGACATCACTACAGTTGACACTCATGGGAAACATAGGCTCTCATTCCAACCAAAAACACCGATCAAGGAAAATTCATCTATTGTTTAAATTGGACAATTAAATTTGAGATACAGGTGCTAAGTTAAAGGAGCTGTAAAATTGTAGAAATGGAATCCATTCCTTCAGTTGACTGAAAAATATCTTTATATTCTACCGCACACCAAATAAGAAAAATTTTAATTAAAACTGCACCAGGATACTATTTTTTACCTGTCATGTAGACAAAGATAAAAAATTTGATTTCACACTGTTGGTAAGGTTGTTGGGGGGAAAAGAATTCTCATACACTGCTGCAGGGAATGTAAATTATTGTAATTAGTATGGAGAGGAATTTGACAATATCTACCCAAAATTTAAATGTACATATTCTATGATAAAACAATTTGGTTTCTGGGACTTTATCCTGTAGATCTAAGTACATACATACTATAAGATGTATATGGAAGTTTATTTACTGCAACATTGTTTGTAACAACAAAATATTGGAAACAAGTTAACTACCAGTAGAAGACTAATTAACATATTTTGGCATATCCATGTAATGGAATACTAGTATACATCTGTAAAACATATATAAGGAAACTTTTTTCTTGGAAGGATATCAAAGAACTATTTTTTGTGTGGAAAAACGCCAAAGTACAAAACATTATGTATTGCATGTAAAAATTTGTGGAAAAAAAATAGAAAAAAGTTTTTGTGTATATATAAAATATCTCTGCAAGGCTAGACAAAAATTTGTAACATTGTCTATGAGGAGGTAAAGTAGGTTTCTGGCAGGCGTGATGGGAGGGAAAATTTTCACTGGAAAACAATTTTACGCTTTTCCATTTATGGGCCATATGAATCTACTACTTGTTTTAATTTTTCTTTTTAAGAACTAAAATAAAATTTCCATAGGGAAAAAATTTTATATCCCTGAAGAAAGGGGTTACCATTTTGCTCTTATTTCCATGTAAATTAAAAATATCTAATGCATCCTTTAACTATTCTGTTTTCTTAAAAAGAAAGAAACAAAATCTGACTATAGGCGCTGACCTTTGTGCCTGCACTGAACTAAAGTCAGGGCAGTGGATCATGTGAAGAGGAAAATCATCAAGTACATTACAATACAAATAAACAAAGGGAAATTACAAAAAGGAATGGCATAAATTAAAATTGCATCTTTTCTTCTTAGTTTGATTACATTTTATTTAGAAAGATACTGTGTTTTGGAAGGATATACTTTGTTATCAGCCTTGCATATATAATTGTTAAAAACCTGTTTGTCAATCTATTAAAAAAAAAGCTACTAAGTTACTAATTCTTCATCCTTCTTTCATTCAGTTTCTGTAATTATACTAGTAATGTGTTTGATTAAAAAAGCAGCAGTAGCTGCTTTTTATTTTAAAAACCCTACTGTTTGAAGGCCATTTATACAGGTATTCATTTCTGTTAAGAAATCTTATATGGTTAGCTTCCTTGGGAACTTTAGCTGACCTAGTCCTGAATCTGAATGAATGGACACACTTAAAGTTTTTTAGTACAAAATTTGTCTCACGTGTTAAGCACTTTGCCACTTACTAGTCAGCCCGCATTGCCACCCTCACTATTCCTTCCTCTTTTACTTGTTACTGCTCCCCCTTCCCCACAACACTGTTGGTGTGTCTCCTCCTTCTTATAGGTGGAAGTCCAGCTCCTGAAAATATTGCACTCCAAGGCTCTGTGAATGAAGAAAAAATCATGTCAAATCAGGTAAGGAGGGGCTTCCCTGGTGGCGCAGTGGTTGGGAGTCTGCCTGCCGATGCAGGGGACACGGGTTCGTGCCCCGGTCCGGGAGGATCCCACATGCCGCGGAGTGGCTGGGCCCGTGAGCCATGGCCGCTGAGCCTGCGCATCCGGAGCCTGTGCTCCGCAACAGGAGAGGCCACAACAGTGAGAGGCCCGCGTACCGCAAAA